ACGCTAAGCGAAACGCTAAGCTAAAGCTAAGCTACAGCTAAGCTAAAGCTAAGCTAAAGCTAAAGCTAAAGCTAAAGCCCCCAGGGAACTGGGGGGAGCCGCTCCCAGGGGACTGGGGGAACCGCCCGGGGCGTGTTCAACTGCCCGGCCCCTTTAAGCTAAGAGACTAAGAACCCTTCTAGGCAGAGCCTAGGTAGGGACAAATATTACTATTGCACTAACTACTACTAGTACTCGTAGTCTTACTATTACTCCTACTATTACTCTTGCTACTACTACCACTACTACTACCCCTATCACTTCTACTTTTACCATTACTCATACCACTACAACTATAACTAGTACTACAAGCACTATTCCTACTTCTACCACCGCTACTCCTACGACTACGCTGGCTATTATTGTTAGTGCTACCATTCGTATTATTACCACCACTACTACTACTACTACTACTACTACTACTGCTACTACTACTACTACTGCTCCTAGTACTATTTATACTACTACAACGATCATTACTACCTCTACTACTACTACTACTACTACTACTACTACTACAACTACTACTACTACTACTACTACTACTACTACTACTACTACTACTAGTACTACTACTACTACTACTACTACTACTACTACTACTACTACTACTACTACTACTACTACTACTACAACTACAACTACTACTACTACTACTACTACTACTACTACTACTACTACTACGGCTACTACTACTACTACTTCTTGTTCTACGTCTACTGCTACTGCTGCTACTACTACGACTAATCTTACCAGTGCTACTACTATTGCTGCTACTACTGCTTGTACCTGTCGATTGCTACTGCTACACCTATTAATGCCATTCTTACTTTTCCGTGTTACTATTATTACATCAATTATTATTGCGACTCCTGATTACATCGCTATTGCTACAATGAATGCTACTACTAATTAGTATGAGTCTTATGTGCGCCATTCGTATAATTTATGGTGCGTGATTAGACTTGCTTCTTTTCTATGTGCTATGATTCGTATTGCTCGTATGGTCAACATGCGTATTAGTTATGTTATCACCATTGTTATTCGTATTATCCCCTTTCTTCTTAATCGTAGTCTTGTCTTTATATTTAACAGTCGATGCTCGCAATATCACTTTCAATATTCGTATGACTCTTACTGTTTTTTGAACTATGTCTAAGACGCCTACGGCGAACGTTGAGGCCAGACCTGCCAAGCTATCGGACCATGTGTTCCCCGAATCGGTATGGAGAGCCTTCGGGGACCACGTGGGCATATTGAAAGTCATCTTGGCCGCCTGGAGGCCATTTTGACCCTTTCGGGCCTTCTTGGAGGACGTCTTGGAGGGCTCTTGGGCCGTCTTGGAGGCCATCTTGAGCGTCTTGGTCTTGGGCCCTTTCTGGGCCTCTGGGGGCCGTCGTGGGCCTCTTGGGCGACCTTTGGGTGCACTTTGGCCTTCTCGGGTCGTCGGAAGGCAGAAACAAAAGCAAATGCCACACTCCTTCAACAGCTCATGGGAAATCAATGATTTTGACCTTTTCGGCCCTTCCTGGAGGCCCTCTTGGAAGCCTCTTTGGCCGTCTTGGGCCATCTTAGGGCCATCTTCGGTCGTTTTGGTGGGCTCCTGGCCCGTCCGACGCCGTCGGAAGCCGTTTTGGGGGGGCCCCTCTGGGCCGACTTGGGGTCCTCTTGGAATGCTCCAGGGCCGTCTTGGAGGCTATCTTGGGCGTCTTAAAAGCATCCTGGGCCGTCTTGGGGGCCTCTTGGGCCGTTCAGGGGCCATTTTGGAGGCCTCTTGGGCGATCTCTGGGCGATCTTTGGGGGCTCTTGGGCCGTATTGGGCCTTCGGATGGCCGAAAGGAGCAAATGCCACAAACCTTCAAAAACGTAGGACAACCAATTTTTTGGGCCTTCCTGGAGGCCCTCTTGCCAGCTTCGAGCCAACTTCGGCCATCTTGGTGGGCTCCTGGCCCGTCTGACGCCGTCGGAAGCCGTTTGGGGGGCCTCTCTGGGCCGACTTGGGGTCCTCTTGGGGTGATCCAGGGCCATCTTAGAGGCCATCTTAGGCGTCTTGGAGGCCTCTTGGGTCGTCTTTGTGCCCTCTTGGGGCCGTCTTGGAGGCCATCTTGGAGGCCTCTTGGGCGCTGTGGGGGCGATCTTGGGGGCCTCTTGGGACGTCTTGGGTCGTCGGAAAGCCGACCTAAGGAAAATCAATGATTTTGACCTCTTCGGGCCCTCCTGGAGGACCTCTCGGAAGCCTCCTGGGCCGTCTTGGAGGCCTCTTGGGCACCTGTTGGGCCGTCTTGGGCCGTCTTGGAGGTTTCTTGGGCGGACTTGGAGGCCTCTCCTCCTCTCTTTGCCGTCTTGGAGGCCATCTTGTCCGTCTTGGAGGCCTCTTGGGGCCCTCTTGGGGCCGTCTTGGAGGCCTCTTGGGCCGTCATGAGGCCATCTTGGAGAGCTCGTGGGCGATCTTGGGGCGATCTTGGGGGCCTCTTGGGCCGTCTTGAGCCGTCGGGATACCGAGAAGAAGCAACTCCCCAAATCCCTCAAAAACCATAGAAACATCAATGATTTTGGCCTCTTCGGGCCTTCCTGGAGGACCTCTTGGAGTCCTCTTGGGCCGTCTTGGAGGCCTCTTGGGGGCCTCTTGGGCCGTTTTGGGCCATCTTGAGGCCATTGTAGGCCGTCTTGGGTGCATGTCTGGCCGTCTTGGAGGCATCTTGGGGCCATCTGAGCCGTCTTGGAGGCCATTTTGGCCGTCATGGAGGCATCTTGGCCGTCTTGGAGGCCATCTTGGGGCCGTCTGGGGCGGGAAAACCGTCTGCAACTGGGTCTTCTGGGTGGCCGGCGGGACGCGCCGGAGCCCCAGGGGGAGTTCTTTTGGAAAAAGAACCAAAACCAAAAGCCATATTGTTCGGCACGCCAGGCACCCCTTTGATAAATCAAAAGGTGGCGGCGGATCGAAGACGCCTACGGCGAATCACCGCCGCCCCCTGCCTTTGTGGAAGCGCCTATGTGGCCGAACGTTGAGGCCGGACCTGCCAAGCTATCGGACCATGTGTTCCCCGAATCGGTTTGGAAAGCCTTCGGGGAACACGTGGGCATCTTGAAGGTCTTCTTGGCCGCCTGGAGGCCATTTGGACCCTTTCGGGCCTTCTTGGAGGACGTCTTGGAGGGCTCCTTGGACGCCATCTTGAGCGTCTTGGAGGCCTCTTGGGCCGTCTTGGGGGCCTTTTGGGGCCGTCTTGGGCGCCTCTTGGGCCATTCTGGGGCCACCTTGGAGGCCTCTTGGGCGATCCTTGGGCGATATTTGGGAGCTCTTGGGCCGCATGGGGCCGTCGGAAGGCCGGAACGAAGCAAATGTCAAAATCCTTCAAAAACCTTAGGGGAAATCACTCTTTTCGGCCTTTTCTGGCCTTCCTGGAGGCCCTGTTGGAGGCCTCTTGGGCCGTCTTGGGCAAGCTGCGAGCCACCTTCGGCCATCTTGGTGAGCTCCTGGCCCGTCTGACGCCGTCGGAAGCCGTTTCGGGGGCTCTTGGGGCCCTCTTGGGGCGCTCCAGGGCCGTCTTAGAGGCCATCGTGGGCGTCTTCGAGGCCTCTTGGGCCGTCTTGGCGCCCTCTTGGGGCCGTCTTGGGGGCCTCGTGGGCCGTCATGGGGCCATTTTGGAAGCCTCTTGGGCGATCTTGGGGCGACCTTGGGGGCCTCTGGGGCCGTCACGGACTGTCGGAAAGCCGAAAAGGCGCAAATGCCAAAATCCTTCAAAAACATAGGAAAAACAATGATTTTGGCCTCGTCGGGCTTTCCTGGAGGACCTCTTGGAGGCCTCTTGGGCCGTCTTGGAGGCCTCTTGCGGGCCTTTTGGGTCGTCTTAGATTATATTGGGGCCATCTTGGGCCGTCTTGGATGCATCTTGGGGCCATCTTAGCCGTCTTGGAGGTCATCTTGGTTGTCTTGGAGGCATCTTGCAGGCCATCTTGGGCCATCTTCGCGATTTGTTGAGGATGCCCCGAGCGAAACGGCCGTTTTGGGCATTGACTGACGCAGTTTCCGGGTGGCCGGCGGGACGTGCCGGAGCCCCAGGGGGAGTTCTTTTGGAAAAAGAACCAAAACCAAAACCGAGAGGGTTCAGCACGCCAGGCACCCTTGCGATGAATCGACAGGGGGCGGCGGATTTCATGGCCTTCGGTTTAACCCGCCACCGTGCCTAGGTTGTGGGTCGGAGTTCTCAGGAATGGTTCGTCGGTTCTCTTCAGGGCGCTCTCGGGAGCCTCTTGGGAGCAGAAAGGGGGCCTCTTGGGAGCCTCTTAGGTACCTCTTGTTAGCCTCTTTGGGCCTCTTGGGAGCCTTCTGTGGCTTTTTGGGGGCCTCTTGGGGGCCTCTTGGGGCCTCCTGGGGGCCCCTCGGGGCCGAGGGCTTGAAATGTCCGTTCGGGTTCCCCATCTGGGCCCTCTCTTCGGGCCCTCTTTGTCCTCTTGGACTCTCTTGGGCGCCTTTTGGGCCGCCTTGGGGCAGTCTTGGGCCGTCTTGGGGCCTTTTGGGGGGCCCCAGGGGCCGTCTTGGGGCGATCTTGGTGGCGTCGTGGGCCGTCATGGAGCGTCGGAAAGCTGAAAGGGCCAGAAGGCAACAAATCTGGTAAAGTTTACAGGAAATCAATGGTTGTTGCCTCTTGGAGCCCTCTGGGGACGCCTCTCGGAACATTCTTGAGACGTCTTGGGGGCCTCTTGGGCCGTGTTGGAGCCATCTTGGGCGTATCGGGGCACTCTTAGGTCTTCTAGGAGGCATCTTCGGCCCTCTTGGGATCTTTTTGGGCCCATGTCTGGCCGGCTGCGCTACAGGAGGACGCACGCGACACCCTCGGGGAATCTCCGTAAAACCCATGGAATCCCCAGAAATCCACGGAAATCTTTGTGAAGCTGGTGGCCTGCACCCTTAAACCTTACAGAACTCTCGACTACGTGCTGAAAGCATGGTGGCGGATCAGGTCCATGATGGCAGACGCCTCGGAGGAGCGGCGGCTGCTGGCCAAATCCTGCCAGGAGCTGGCGGACTCTCATCACAGCGCGCTGAGGCAGCAGCTGGCTGACCTTGCGGAGAACGTCCGAGGGAGGCACGACGGCGCCCTGGACTCCCTGGTGCAGCGCGTCACCAGGCCGGGCGAGGAGCCTCGCATGGCTGTCGCTGGAGGTGCCGGAGGAGCCAGCGAGCACGCGGGCAGAACCTCTCGGCAGCAGTTCGACGCACACTGGGATGTCTCCTGTGAGACGCCGAGCACGCCGCCGCTGGTCTCACTGCATCCTCCACAGGTGCAGCACCATCAGCTGGGGCACGGGACATCCTGCGCCGCAACCATGACGTCTCCCAGGTCCATGGAGAGAACACCAGCAACACCAGCAACACCATACAGCTCTGCCGATTCAGCGATGATGCAGAGCTCCAGCACAGTGGACGAGTTCGGGCTCAGCAGAGACTCGAGCAAACGAAATCGCTCCGCCAAAAAAATGTCAGTCATCGATATGGCCGCTCTCAACTCGGAGTCGCAGACGGCTGTGGGCTATCTCTCTTGGGTTGCAAGTGTTTGGGTAGCAAGGTGTTATCTTGCATGGGCTCGTATCGAGGAGCCAGAGCGCACCAGCCTCCTCGCGACAGTCGAGCGGGAGACGCGTTTTTTCTTTGCGTTTGTCATCCTATGTAACGCTGCTTACATGACTTGGTTTGTTAATCAGCAGGTCAGCAATCCGAACAGCATCGACGAGTGGGTTCACGACGCTGACATCTGTTTTTTGGTCATCTTCTGGTTCGAACTTGGCTTGGGAATAGCAGTGCATGGATTTTATTCCAGACGCTTCGCATTCACCTCCCGCCCATGCCAGCTCTCGCCAGAGGAGGCGAAGACGACTCCAAGGCGGTGGCCTTCTGCCCATCCCAATGCATATGGGATCAAGTCCCACCCCCGCTGGATGGGTACTCTCGGGTCGGGCGAAATGGGGGGGATTGGGAAAGGGGGGGGGTACGAAATTTGCTGCATGCAGCTGGTTTCGGCCTCACCGAGGGGCCAATTCCTTGATACATGGCCGCTCCCGGCGCCGGGAGGCGCCGGGAAAATCAGCTACGTGAGCTGATTCTCAAACCCCCCCTTTGCTATCCCCCCCTTTCGCCCGACCCGATACTCCCGTGAGCCTCGCGCAGACCTCGCGAGTGGGATTGCCCCCCCTCCCCCCGTGGTTGTGATCCCGAGGGCGTGGCGTGGTGGAGGGTGCCCTTGTTTCCCCCCTGTGGGTGTGGGTTGATTCGTCCTCGTCGTCGTCGTCTTCTTCCGTCGGCGTCGGCGGCGGCGGCGGCGTCGGCGTCGGCGTCGGATTCGTCGTCGTCGTCGTTGTCGTCGTTGTCGCCGCCGCCGTCGTCGTCGTCGTCGTCGTCGTCGTCGTCGTCGTCGTCGTCGTCGTCGTCGTCGTCGTCGCCGACAGCGACGGCGAAGCCGAAGCCGACGCCGACGCCGACGCGGACGCCGACGCCGAAGCCGTCGTCGTCGTCGTCGTCGTCGTCGTCGTCGTCGTCGTCGTCGTCGTCGTCGTCGTCGTCGTCGTCATCGTCATCGTTGTCATCGTCCCCCCCATCCCATGTGGGGGGGGGGGCTGTGGAACCCTGGGACCCATCCCATCTGGGGGACTGCACCCGTGACCTGGGATCATTTATTCCGAAAATAAGGTCTCCCTCTTGTGTGTGTGTGTGAGTGTGTACGTCGGCGGAGGGTGCCCCCGCCCAGTCAAGCAACGCACGGCGGCGAGGAAATCAAACAACGCATCGCGGCTACGCAGGAGGCTGAGGATACCCGCCTCGCTCTTGTCCAGCGTGTCTGCTGGGTCCACAGTGCTGGGCGGCTTTCACGGCGACCCGGCGACCCTGACCTGTACACCGCCGAAAGCTGACCGATTTTCTGAGCACTGTCCTGGGTTCCTGCATACCTTTCCAGGTGGGCAACACGCGCGGCCCCTGGAAGTGGCCCTGACCGCATGCCAAGCCGCGGCCGTCCGTGTGGGGTCACGCGCGCTTTCGGGGGCGGCAAAGAAGGGGGTGATGACTAGGGGGGGGGGTTGACATCATGGAGGGGGCCATGATATCTCCTCAGATTTCACAGCACCTCTTCTTATTTAATCGCTTCGCTCATTCCGCCGGCCCGTATTGTGCCATCGCAGGCGTTTGCTTGCGCGTTCGTGGCCTCTTGGAGCCTCGTTGGGGCCGTTTGGGGCCTCTTGGCGCCTCTTTTCAGGCCTCTTGGAGAACTCGGGAGGCCTCCAGGGGGCCTCCTGAGCTCTCGTGACGATCTCTTGGGGGGCTTTCGGCGGGCTCTTGGCGGTATTTGTTGGTCCTCTTGGGGCCTGGGGCCTGACGTTGTTGGTCCTCTTGGGGCCTCACGGGAGCTTATTGGGGCGTCTTGGGGGTGTCTTGGAGAGTCTCTTGGGGCCTCTTTCGGGGTCCTGGGCGCCTTCTGGGGCGGAGGGCTCGATTTTTCAGTTCTCGGTTCCCTTCTTGAGCCCCTCTTGGGCCCGTCTTGGGGCCTCTTGGTCCGCCTTGGGCAGCACTTGGGCCGTCTGGGGGGCGCTCTTGGGCCGCTCCGGGGCCGTCTTGGGAGCCTCGTGGGCCGTCTTGGAGCAGTCTTGAAGGCCTCTTGGGCCCTCTTGGAGCGTCCGGAAGCGAAAAGGCCAGAACGCAAAAAAACATCGAACAAACCAATGAAAATCAACGATTTTGGCAACTTGGGGCCCTCTTCGGAGGCCTCTTGGAAGGCCCTTGGAGCGTCTTGGAGGCCTCTTGGGCTGTCTTGGGGCCATCTGGGGCGTCTTCGGGCGATCTTTGGCCGTCTCGGGCCTCTCTTGGACCGTCTAGAAAGCTTCTCGGGGCCCTCTTGGACCGATCTGGAGCCCTCTTGGACTCCGAAACAGAACTCCGGCATCTCTGACCCGACCTTGCCGGGACCTTGCCGGGGACTTGCCGGGGACTTGCCGGGACCTTGCCGGGGTACTTTTCGTCCGGGGACCCCCAGGGGCCGCCCCGCGCGCGCGAACTAGAAATACTGTTAACCAGGTACCGGAGATCTTAGCACGCCCTGGCCCGTTGGGCCGGCGAATTTTATTACGTCCCTGGCCCCCCATTTGGGCTGCGCGCATGCCGCCAGCCATGATTTGCGCTCCCCCACCTCTTGGACGCCCCCCTCCTGGCCGCCTCCGACGCTTGCGCGCCGTGCAGGTCACTCATCCCGTTGGCCGCCCTGGCGGCCATGCCGGCGCGACGGGCCTTGGGCTACTGCTCAACCCCGCCGCTCTCCCGGTCGCTGCCCCTTCTGCCCCGGGGGGCCCGTGCCGCCCCCGTCGCTCAGCGTCGGGCGCCTGGCGCGGCATGGGGGCCTCCCTGCCGCTTGGAGGGGCGCTGGGCAGCACATTCTCCATGGCTCCCCTCCTCCTCGTCCTCCTCCTCGTCCTCGTGTTCGTCGTCCTCCTCCTCCTCCTCCTCCTCCTGCTCCTCCTCCTCCTCCTCCTCCTCCTCCTCCTCCTCGTCTGCGCAAGAGGGGCGCTGGGGGGGCGCTGGGGGGCCCATTCTCCATGGGCCTCCCCGTCCACACTCCTCGGGTGCGGCCCACGCTGGCGCCCCGCCTGGAGCGGGCAGTGCAGGGGCTGGGCGGCGACGCTGCGCGGTCCGCCTCCCCGGGGTTGCGGCCTCCCGCCGCGCCACCGCCGCGCCTCGCCCGCCTCTGGCGCTCCCACTTTGGGTCGCACCCGACCCAGCAAAATGTGGCGCTACCTTGTTGTCAGAGATATATCATACAAGGGGCCTCAGGATGGGCACCACGTTCTTTCCGTATTGAGGACCGCGGTGACATCGCCGGGCTGGCGCGAAGAGGCTCTGTTCAGAAGACAAACATTGGAGGGGTGGAGTGAGGGAGTTGCAGTTGGAGAGAGGGGTGAGCTGCGTGAAGCAGCAGGAGCAGGGAGGAGGAAGGGGGAAGGGAAAGGGCAGGAGGAGGGGGGGAGGGTTCTCTTTGCCCCGCGCTTTTTTTTGCAGCCGAGCGTCGACTGATCGTGGATTAGTCAAGCGCGCCAGCAAGGTCTGCGAGGCTCGCGGGGAAGGGGGGTGGCCAGCAACCAGGGCGATCATGAATTCCCCAAAGAGGTGCTTGCACCTTGGGGTTCTTACTTGGTCGAACCATGTGGCAATGCCTGCGGGCTTTTTCGCCCCCGTGCCGCCCCCGTGCCGCCCGTGCCGCTGGCCATGGCTGTAGTAGTACTAGCAGCACTAGCAGTACGAGTAGTACTTGAGGGCAGGGGGCAGGGGTGCGCATGCCAGGGCAGATGGCGTCGAGTCAATTTCCCAAGCGTCGTCGAGTTGGAATGCCGTTCGCCGCGCCGTTGTGTCAGGTTCGGCGCTGGGGTCGCCGGTGCCGGTGCCTGTGGCGTTCCGCTGGTGCCAGGAGCGTAGGGCCGGCAAACCCTGGATTGTCGCCAACCCTGTAAAACAATGGCGACGGCAACAACAACGGGGGCTTTGTTGGGCACCGGGCGGGGCGGGCTGGCAAACATATGTGTGCGAACCCCTCCCCGCCGACATCCCGCGTTAACGGAAACGATGGCGACGTCCAGGTATTGTTTTTTTGTTCGGTTGCTTGGGGTCCGCATGATGTCAACCAGGCATCAGGAATTCAAGGGGGCGCAATGGGGTTCGGGAATTCAAGGGGGTACAGGGGCTTCGGGAATTCAGGCCTGCCGCATGTATTGTTTGAACATAAGATACCTTGACGACTTGAACGACGATTCGGCACGGCAGCACTTACAAACAATTTGCTTTTGTTGGCAAGGACAAATGAAGTAAACATCGCGGGTGGACAATTGCATGTGCGATGCAACCCTGTGGGGTTTTTATCCTGCTTCGGGCGGTCCACGATCAGAAACGTGAGTGGTACCTCGCATAGGTTACCCGTGCACGTCGCACTTCCTCCCTCCATCACGGCCCGCGCCCGTGCCCTGGGATCTGCAGACCAGCGCGCGCCTGGCATTTGCTCGCCTGGTATCGTCCTTGTCGTCAAAATAAGAACACGATGGTATAACCAGGCCTGGAACGCTGCTCGCTTCCTTACTGCGCTGTAGCTTCGCTGAGCGTCGCCACAACGGAGTCCTGGCCAGTGACTGGTGCTATTGGCAGGGCGCGACATTTGAGACGAACTGGGCCGTGGTCACCATAATCGCGACATGGCCATGCGAATCTCGGGCTTGAATTATGTCGGACTGTATCATCGGTAACATAAGCAAAAATGAAGAGCTTGAGTCCGCATGCAGCTACAGAAGAGCGAAATGGAATAACCGTGCGCAAGCCATTACCATAGTTGAATAACGCGCTCTTGCCCAGGAGGCTACGGTGTCACGTCCGCGAAGTGTTTCCTTTGCTTGGTCTGTGCAGCTTCGGGGAACGCGCTCTTCTAATGACATACAGACGTGCTGGCAGTGGCTCTGGGGATCGCGGGGACGAATGGCATCCGTGATTTGCATTGCGCCGTGTGCGAGATCAAAAGCACCCCATGCTTCCATGAAGACGCCCTCTCCTCTTTCGCTTCCTCCCCCAAGTTTCCCCCGAAGGGTGCACTCAATGGCTGGCGGAACGCGCAGTCCGATAGCGTAGCCGAGCTCTGGCCACAACACTCGGTCACATGAGCGTTTCCAAAGGCATGGGGCGGTGGTGATTCGCTGTAGGCGTCTTCTGCCGAATGTTCGACTGTTTACTCCTTCTTATAGGATCTCCACTGGACTCCGGCCCAGCCCGCCAGCCACTCGGAGAGACCCGCCAATTTTCTG